CAGTTCCATAAAGCTCAAGCTTTGTGTGGGCAGCATGCTGAAGGAGAAGTCTAATAAAATGCAACACAGTGTAAAGAGAGTCACCATGGCTTTGTTGGAGTGTCCTCCTCCCTGGAATTCAATGGTGCCGAAGGCATCAGTGGGGCTGAGCTGTGTGTGTTTGCTGATTGACCACTTCTCCGACAGGCTGTCATTCTTGGCCAAACGCTCTGCCTTATCATTCTGACTAGATGAGATGCCCGGTGGCAAGCCCACATGCTGACCTATTAGGCGACCACAACAGCACCTGAACAAGAGGAGAAAGTAAGAGTGAGTGTAAGACCGGTATATTACACAGTCCTTTGCAGAGAATAATTGAAATCTTGAGAAGTGCAAGCCCCGAGCAGGAAGAAGAAAAAGGAGAGTAAGAGACAGATTGTGTGTGACTGAGAGTGGGGGGAGAAAAGAGCGTGAGAGCTGCCGTAGTATGTATCTAGCAATAAAAGGTGGGCATGGCTGAAGGGATAGCATGCCGTCCAACTTTCATCTCTTTACTAAGCTTGATTTATAGTCCTGCATAGAATAACAGAGGAGCAAATTTTAAATTTTGTGCAAGTGGCTGTTTGCCATTATGTTTGAGCCTGTATTGCTCTGCCTCCATGGATGGAACTGAGGTGATCTTGTAGCTGATCCATACTGAACAACAGTTCTCTTGCTGAAACACGGGAAAAGCTTTAGTGGCAATTAAGTCTACACACAGATCATCAAAAACTATCAAACCAAGAAAGAGGTGCGTGTCTACACTGATAGAATCTGTGCAATTGTATTAGCCTTGTAAGCAAGCAAAGTACAACTATAGCCTGCACCATGTTTACACAGCTTATTAAAATCAAAGGAAGCAATCCCAACTGTTGCATTTAGTTATATTTCTGGGAAGGTGTGAATCAGGCTAGGCTCTGTGGCTATGTTGCAGATGAGTGGAAGGATTTGTGGGCTTTTGCTAAATTTTCTCAGCTCCATCCCTTTCTGTTTTCTGTACCTGTCGCTGTTACTTCCTTTTCCCTCTCAGCAACTACAAGAGTTAGCAAAATGCTAGTTATGATGCTTGCGTACATTCTTATTCACAAGTGCTGAATGCCGCTTTTATATTCTGTGTTTAAATCTTACAGGATGAAGAGGGAGCCCAGGGAGGAACGGAGGCAGGAGACTGCGATTATCACTTCATGTTTTCATCATGTCTTACCAAAGGTACTTTGCCTTCCTCTTCCTCACGCATGAGCACAAGTGTCTCTAACTAAAAAGAATGAGCTGATTTGATCTTGAGGAACATCTTTTTTCCTTCGTCTTGCTTCTGGCTTTCACCCGTTTTCCTCTAGTAATGCAAAATTTCCGTACCAAACAAACTGTGGCATTTCCTGTGTGTGTGTGTGTGTGTGTGTGTGTGTGTGTGTGTGTGTATGTGATCTTAAAGAGTTTGTCTTCCAGCAAAAACAACATCAGGTTTTCTAATGATTTTGATAATCTCAAGGTGACAGTGAGATTGTAAAACAAAATGAAAAATGAATGTGGTGGTAATTGTGAATTTATCACACTGAGTCAAATTGTTCTAAAGTGCTGTTATAGCGCTGTATTATGTAAACAAAGCCCTCATAAATGTACTTTGAGATAGACTATGCCAGAGTGATAAGGAGTTCTTCCTAAATATTCTTTTACAACAATGTAGAATATGTTACTGTCTTCATGAATTGGTCTACACCTTAATTTTACATTGTCTAGTCTCAATAGATGTCAGAATATTGCAGATGGCAGTCAGCTGAGTTCTGTTTCTTACCTCTATCAATTCAAGTGTGTAATCCTGTCTATGGTGTCCACTACAGGACAAACAACTCTGGCTGCTGTTCATCTGCAGTGAGTGTAGGCTGTAAGTCTGATGTTTACCTAAGTAACATGTCTATCTACTGTGGCTAATGTTGAATTTCAACAATGCTTTAAACCTTTTTTGTCAGTAAGCATTGATGTTTTTGCTGCTGTTAGCCTCTGTTCTGTTAGCTGCTGTTAGCATCTGTTTGTTGCCGCAAGCCAGGGAAACAATAAATCTGACATTTTTGAGATGCTGGTCATGTTGTCTCTTTCCTTTGCTTTTTCACTTCTTTGGTGAAGGGGACTCCTTTTCAGAAGATAAAACATAGGTATGATCTTTCATAACTGGAGTCTGAGCGTGTTCCCTTCTTCTTTGATGTACTATACATGTGGCTAGCCTCTAGTCACATACATAAAGTGAGATTAGGCAGAACTGTGACTATAAATATAAAATTCTTTATAATAATAATAATAATGATTATCATTACCAGTGTTGCCAACTCCTCAGTAAGGAAAATTGCTATTGGTTGTCCTAAAAGTCGCTAGAAGACGCTAAATTACGCCATCGCCTAATTTGCATAATTGGTCATGCTAATCTAATTGTAACCTATGTTGTTGGAGAGAGAAATAACATCGTGGAAGAGACATAAAGTGAGTAAAAAAACGTCCTAAATGCATTTAGAGTTTATTTAGAACTACAAATTAAATTTCTTTTAGCAGTTATTCTTTTTTTTTAATGTCACAATTCCAACCCTGCTCCTTTACCCGGGCTTGGACCGGCAAAAGTGACCCGAAATAGGCACTCTGGTGGAGTTACTTTGTGTGTGTGTGT